TAGACATTGTAATTTATAAGAAAAAAAAGAATATATTTAGTGATTTGCGTTGAACTGTAGTCTTATTTAGAATGCAAATATCTAACGGTAATATAACATTGGCTTAATGCTAGGACAAATATTATAAAGATTATTACTAAATAAGTTGTGAGTAACATTTTGCCTTGAGGCAAGTCTCATGAACTTCCCAATACGTATACTTAAAAGATAAGAATTAGGAGATTCAGCTACGATTTCGTATTTAGATAAAATGTTTAACTGTTTATTGCAATAAACAATAATCAATGTGATTTCTAATTGATATCCAATTGATTGATCTTGTATAAATTAAATTAAATTGTTAAACACGTTTCATTTCATTTATTTCGTATTTTAAAAATGTTTTTTAATGTAGCTGCACACGAAAAGCAGATTGTGCATACTTTTTCAGCATAGATTCCAATTAGAATCGTTCAAGCGCGTGGCGCTATTCCAAACTTTCATGAATTTTTATAATTCAATCGCTTATCGTAGGCCTATAATATTTTGTATGTTATTTCATACTGCGAAATGTACTGCCATACAAAGTTTCATCGAAATAATCAAAGAAATTATTTTCCAAAAACAATTACGAAGAAGTTGCCCGGCCAATCTTTACCAAAAACCAGCATCTTTCAAATGGATGCTGAATTTTTAAATGCGATTTAAAATTGTGAGCTAAAAAGTGGACAAAAACTTCTCACTTTTCTGATAATTACAAAGAAACGTCTTGGCCGATAGTTGTACAAAACTGACAAACGCAAGTCTTTATCGAGTAACATCAATGGCCTATAATGGTAATTCTGTCGTAGCAGAGCTCATAAAATCGCGTTGTCATGGCAACGTTCTATAATGCTTGTTCTTATTTTACATATAAACAAGCAAGAAAGAATCTTATGGTAACAGAATCTTCGATGATGCAGTTATCATAACATTCTCCCTTGCTTGTTTATATGTAAAATACGCCAGAGCGCACAGCAAATAGATAAACATTTCATAATTTTTAATACCAAGAATAAGTTGCCATGACAACGCTATTTTATGAGTTCTGTTACGGCAGAATTTCCCCATAAATTTTGAAATCGGTTCAGCTGTTTTTGAGAAAATGTCGACGAAGGTCAAAAATCGGCTCACATACACACATACGTTCTCCAAATTTGATTTAACCCTTTCCATTCGTTAATTTAGGAATTAATACGTATTTTGCCGCCGTAGCGGCGGCATCCGAGTCGAAAGGGTTAATTTGGATTGAGAATAAAGAAAACGTGAAATTAACTAATCGGATTTTTTGGTGAAAACACACATCTCTTTCACGAAAGTTAAAAATTATAGAATCGAACCCATTATTGTTCTTTTCTCATATGGCTTTGAGTCCCCTACAGCCCTACTTTTCGTAGGACTATGACATTTTAGGATATTTATTTCGGGAAAAAAATATGACAATTTATATAAATTGTAATTATAACTACGAAGAAACCACCCGGTCGATTTTTATCCAAAACTAATCAAAACAAACAAATATATCCAATACAAACAAAACAATTGATATCCTTTTCGCCCACTTACAAAATTTCATACGGTTGGTACAATTTGACATATTAGTTTTTTTATTAAACAATATCGTAAAATAACAGTACGATATTGTTTTTTAATAACAATTTCAATACGCATGTTTCAATAATAAATAAATTAATATTATTTACCTGTTCAAGTGCACATCTCAGCTGTACTTTGTATTTGACACGCTCACAATTCTTTTATTTTTGACAACACCTTCGACCCAAATCATCTCACTGACACTTTTAATCAAATAAAAAAAGTTCAATTTTAAGAGTAAACATAAATTTTTTTATCTTATCACTGTTCACAATAAATAACATAAAAAACTAAGTGCCGGTACTACATGTACCTCGATGCACGTTGATTCATATCTTTTTAGGTTGTGAAACACACAGTAACAAATTATATATTGTCCTATTTATATGAAAAATTATTAAAAAATGTATTTAAGTTTACAGTACAAAACAAATGCAAAATTTATGACTATTTATTGCATTTCCAAAGTTCACTAAAACCAACATTGCACTTGAATTCACACCTGACTGCAATTCCAGAATTTTCTCATTCTTCACACACTTTTCACATTTCACATTTAACAATTATTTTGTTTAATACAAAATAATCATTTCGACTATCCTTTCTTCACATTTCTCAATGAATGCAAGGGGAAAACAACATGCTTAAAGGAAAATCCATATATTTCGCGAGGGGTTGAAAACGCGCATGCTCGTACATATGTAACTGTTATATAAGAAAAGCATCCCTTTGAAAAATGATACTGAATTATTTACACGATTTGATTTAGAATTAACAATAGAACTATTGTGTTGTATTTAATATATAATTGGTATTTGGAATTTTATAATAATTTTATTGTCATTGTAAATGATGATCTTTCAAACTGTGAGATGTTTGACAGGTCGTTGATGTAGAGACTGACAGTACATGCAACAATATAAAATCGAATGTTTGAAATAAATATGATTAGGATTACAAAAATAATTGTTTTGCAGATTTATGAACAAAATATTGAGGTTTTTAATTTTTTGTCTTCAAAATATGTTCATTTTTCATAAATTCAAAAAGCAAAATATTTCCTAAAAATATGACTCAATTAACGATGTTTTTTTTTTAATTTTATGGTTCATTGACTAACTTCATGGTTAATTTCACGGTTCATGGCTCATTTAAATAATACATTTTAAATAAATTGAAAATATATTAAAATAATATATAAAACAGGAAAGAATACAACAATATATGTATATCAATTGATAATATATTGCGTTGTATTCTTTCCTTTTTCCATCGACAATATTATAAATAAAATATTTTCTCCCAAAAATTTCCACCATAAAGATTTTTCATTAAATTAATTCCATCAGCTAACCATAAAAGCATCAATAAAAGAAATTACTAGCAAATACCCAATAATTTATGCCACCATTTAATTATAAAAGTAATCGGCGCATTCTGACTTAATTATATCAATTAGATTTTATTAGATTAATTAATTATATAAATTAAAAATACTCATTAAAATCTTATGATTTGGATTAAAAACTCAACTTTTAGCTTTATAGTATATAAATATAACAATTAAGCTTATAAAATAACTATTATTTTTCGATTATTTGTTCTATTAACATACAAAGTATCAAAACAAGAGCATGTCATGTGTTTTACAAAGTATATTCATAAAATAATTATAATAAATAATTCATTTCAAACTTGAGCATGACAACGTTTACAATACAAATAGAATTATATAGTAATTCATTTACAATGTAATTATGAAAACATTATTTATATATTTGGTATAATGACAAATTTAGTATTAGTTTTTTTAATATTTACAGTTTTATATACATTGGATAAATGTTGATTTATGTTTCATTTATAAGGTCACTTACTAAAAATACAATTTACATTCTAGAGTAAGTACATTATTCCTTATTCAATACCTATTAAAATACTTCAGCTGATTAACATAGCAAAAAAATAATACACACACATATGCATATATATATATATATATATATATATATATATATATAAAAATATATATTGAAATGTGTTAACATATATATTTATATACATGTGTATTTAAATCCCATACATTAAAGATTTGAGAGTTTCCCACCTTATAAATAAAATAAAATATAATTAAACATTTGCATTTGTTGTATTTAATGACAAAAAGTTTCATAAACATTAGCCCCTAATACCTTTATTCTATCAATAGCAATTAGTTTCTCTACTAACACTTCTGAGGTTTTACCTACAAGACCGTTTACAATGGGTATCATCTTTGCCATTGGTATTTGTAATTTATTCATATTAACAAACTCATTTTTTAATTCAACTTCAACAATTTTCTCCTTAGGTATAAAGTTCTCAGCAATGTGATCCATCATTGTTGCAAATCCCTGACTCACTCCAAGAGTCAATAAAGATTTTACATCTTCTGTCTCTAGAAGATCCCTAGTCTCTGCTATCATGGTTGAAAATAAAGGTGAATTCATATCCGTTGTAGGAAGAACAAATTTGCTTATATCAGCTAGAGGATTCCGCGGGTCCTTTGCTACAGCGGCCTGCACTGACCAAAATATTTGCTCAATGTCTGATATACTGAGTTTTTTTGTTAAGGGTATGTTTTCGAGTACTCCCCTCACATTATCTTCAATAATTTTACATATTCCTCTTACACCTTCTCCTAATAGATTATGGCATAAAGACAAATAACGCGCTTGCATGTCACGATCAACATTGCAAGTCCCATTTTTTGAATCTTTATAAACATAGCCACCTAGTAAGCTCAACTGAACACGCAATGTTACAACAAATACGGAAGAAGTATAAACTAAACTTGCAACTTTAGAAAAAGCACGAATTTTCAAATCAGACCACAATTTAACTTTGTTGTCTGGATTAGTTTTTAGTTCTACTATTATGTCTTCAGTCATAACACATTTGCATACTGCTTCACATAACTGAGGAGCTAAAGACATAATAGTTTGATTGCAAGTGAGTTCGGTACCATCAAAATGTTGGGACTGCTTGGTTCGTTCTATGAACTCTAAACTCTGTTTCTCTTGCCAAGCACGCAGCTTTCGATGAGCATATCTTGTGGCCAGAATGGCACCTCCAACCACACAACCAGTGATTATTAGTTTGTTTTTATTGCGCACAAAAAAGCGAGAAATTTTTGAAATCATTTTAAAAAGATATTGTTTTTGAAAATATTTATGATATTCAGAGTTAGTTTAGTGCTGCTACAACTTTACATCTACTACACTTATTTATGAAGTCTTATAATATATAGAATTATTTAACTGAATTACTTTCACATCAAAGGTATATTAGATAAATATATCTGATTTCCATTTAGAGTCAAAATTGTAATGTATCAAACATTAGATGCCAGTCGATATTCTATGTTGATAAAATTAAACAACTTATCATACACCTGAAACAAAAGAAAAAAAAATTATATGTATGCAATAATGCAATATAATTCAAATAGCACTAACTATAATTGACAATATGGTATATAAATAATGAGCTTAATTTTTTAAGTAAAACTTCTTTAGGCGCGACTAGGATGTAAATCCGTACAAATGCAACGGAAGTGCGTTACGGCCCTCGATGAAAACATTTCTATACGGGTCGATTGTGATTAGTCCTCGTGTATGTGAATAGAGATCTGTCGTTGTATGCGTACCAGCATCAACGCAAAAAAGTAAAAAAAATGCAAGCAGTCAATGAATGTATGTTAATTTTAATTACATGAAGTTCTTCAAACACAATTATTACATGATAAAAATCAGTAACAATTGGTTAACAAGTATGTTGATTTTATTTATATTCATTTAAGGGAGATTTTGTTTCTTTGCCTTTAAAACTGTGACCAGAATAACCCCTTAAATAAAATAAGAAAAATCAAGAAGAAATATTCAATTCCTTTGATATCTGTAACATCAATACTACTATTATGGTACATTTATAAATATAATATATAAAATTTGGAATCCTTAATAAATTTTGGAGCAAGAGGAACAACAATCATGCCTCAAAACACATTTCAAAATCCTTCATATAACATACTCTACAAAGTCTGAATAACAAATACCAACCGCAGTAAAAATTTTGATGATCATGTCACAAAAATTTTAAACATTTAGAGTCTTCATTATATGATTTATAGTTTCTACAGCTTGTGTTTCAGATTTGCTCAGCTGCCGAGCTACATTTGTTGCACACTGTTTAATAGGCTCGAACTGAGCAAGCTCAGTTCTCTGCAACCATATTCGAGGTAAAGTATTAGTAACACATTTCAATTTCTCTGCAGCATCTGCAGCCTTGCAAATACGAATTATAGGAATTAAGTAACGATTCAATAGCAGATCAAATGCTAAATTCATTAGTTTACTATCAACTATCACTCCCTGAAAAGACAAAATGTTGTGCAACAGTTTCACTCCCGATGCAAACTGCCTTTGAGAGAATTCATTTTGCTTTGGAACTAAAGGTATGTAAACATCGTGATCTATAGCCCATTTTATTCGTTCTATGATCACCTCAAAGACCCGATTTAAAGCTTTACAAGAAGGAGTAAGATTTGGATAGTCCTTGCAAAGTTTTGTCATCAGTGATACAACTTTTAATGTTTGAGAAGATGAAAGTGGATCCCATAATTCAATTATATCAACAAGTTTTGGCAAGATGATTTTAACAACAACCATCGGTATCAGCATATTGAGATCATTATGTTCTACTTCTGAGTTTTCACTTTGTGATCCAAACAAAGCCAGAATGTTGTACCATTCCATTTTTTCTATATCATGTGTATTTTTAAGTGGATTCCAACCAACTAATTCTAGTCTTATATAAGGACTTATAACTTTAGGAATACATAGTGTTACATAAGAATCCTCATATGTTTCTGGATCTTCCCGAAGCCATTCTTCAAAGCATTCCAAAACACTTTTCAAAGATGCAAACTCTTTACAAGCATCAGCAAATATTTGAGAAACATCTGAGAGGATAATTTCTAATTGTTGTCGATTTTCCAATTCTCGCTGATCTGGAATCTCATCATCACTGGACATTCCTTCCACATGAGATTGCTGTATCCCGCACTTTTCACGCGCTCTTCGTCTACGAGCTCGTCTGCCCTCGCGTTCAGCGCACCTTTGCATAAATTTTTCATCTGAATTATTCCGTACTTTATCAGCACTTACTTGATCTGATACATCTTGTCTCCTCCTCTCAACAAGAAACATCATTTCATTTTGTTGATATTTTGAATATCTCTGCTCACAACTAACAATGCAAGGAAGTTTTTCGTCTAGACATTCAACAAGATCTCCTATATAAGCACGCATTTCCTGATAGAATTTAAATCGGCGTTTATATTCAGGCATTTTCTTTTCAGCTACTTTACCTTCAATTTTCAAATTCATTATGTCTTCTGAGAGGCGAGTAAGATCTTGTGCATGTGCTGCATGTGCTTCACGCACTTGTTTAATGCGATTTAATAAATTGTTTTCAATTTCTTGCAATGTTCTTTCTTCGCATGATGGTAATTTGGATTCTGTGATTGGAGCAATACCAGCACTAGCGTAAGCTTGTCTTAACTGTGATGTTTTCAGACCGCAATCTTCTTCAGCTGGAGCTTGAAGATAAAATTGATAGGTTTCTTGTTGAGCATTAGCTATTTGAGTACCAGTGACTCCTTTCCTGATTTGTTGATTTTCCCATTCATCAAGTTCAGGATCACTTTCCTTAGAATATAGCATATCCTGAGCTTCATAAAACTTTTCAGAACGTTCTGCACGATCTTTATTCTGAACATTTACAGACATATCAACCCTATCTTCATCCTCATCTGAACCATCTCCATCTCCATCCTCTCGTACCAAACGACTTTTATTACTTTTTGTTGTTATTGGAACAAAATCACCAAACTCTCTGGCCTCTTGACGTCTTTTACGAGCTGCATGTATCATAGCAGCATCAGGAATTTTGCCTCTTTCCAAGGCATCTTTAACAGTAGACGGGTGTGAAAATAGATGTCTAGGTTCATTAAATTCTTCGTCTCCTGACAAATATTCTTTATCTGAAATTTCATCATTAGAATTAGGGTTTTTTATTTCAGTCTGTTTCAAAATGATCTCTAAGTCATCTGTTTGTATCTTAATTCTGCCGTCTTGTTGAACATCGACCTGGTCACCAGTGGGTTCTTCAGGAATGACATGTTTCTTTTTACGTTTGCGTTCTCGGTCAAGTTGTCGCATAACCTTTTTGCTGTGAGATGACTTTTTTACTTTGAAAACTTCTTCGTTATCCTCCCCATCGTCATCAAAACTGAGAAGTGTTCTACCTGTATCTTTAACTTTGTCCTTTGACTTATGTTTCTTTTTCTTGCTTTTCTCAAATTGACATTCGGTTGAGTCACCTATCGAATCTGTTGGAGGCTCACTCGTGGAAACATTTTCTGAAAACTCTTTGTTATCACTTTCTTCTTCATCTTCTACGGCAGAAAACACACGGCGTTGGATAGTTTTCTTTGGTTTTCGAAACATGGACATGTTTAAAGGTTCTTTGATGGAAAAATGATTATTACCGAGCTCCTGGAAAACAATATATAATAACGTTCTCCTAACACAAAATATTATAACTTCTATACTGTAACCCTATATTATATACACAATAAACTAGGATATAGTACAATAATAACGCTAAAATCTATATTACCGTAAAATAATCACTGACAGCAAAACATGACACATATACCGGGATTGACATAGAGCAAAGTGCAACACGAAAACAAAACATTGATAATCAGGTTGAAAACTTAAAAATATCGATATCTTAAAATCTAAAGGTACCGACACACAGCACTTATGATTATTTAATGTGCTGAAAGACGGCACGCACACAGTGTCGAAACGTACATAAAAATAGTTATTGATTGCTTTTTATTTCAATTATTTGAGCAAATGAACATTTGAAGAATATGCTTTAAAGTCGTACAAAAAAATTTAATTGAAAATAAAAAAATAATTTAAAAATATATATTAAAAGCATGGAAGGTAAGATTAATAGCACGAATGCATCAAGATGTGCTCCTTTCCAAGGTTTGCAAATTAATTATTAGTGAGAGTTATGATCTGCATTAAATCGTTTATTATTTGTTTTAATAAACTTACATAAATAAATAAATAAATGTGAAATATGAAACGTTAAAGTATTAATAGCAAAAATAGACGGGGTTAATGCTCGCATAATTTGTAAACAACCCTCGCTCATTGTTTCGAATTGTATTGTTCTTTATTTCGGGACAAAAGTATCAAATTTCGTCGATCTTTGAGATGTTTCTTTGCACCTTCATATACTCTTCTATTTATATTTGATGACAAAATCAATATAAAACAACATACACAAACAACAACATTTTTCAAAAATGATATTTAATATAAATTTCATTAATAAAGTATAATGGCAGATACTTATAATCATAAATGTTTTCATTTTCTTACTTTATAAAAAAACAAATACATTTTAACTAAATAAATTAGATCAAAATAATTGTTTTTTTAGTAATATTTAGCAGAATGTACAATGGCAACCGACAGCAATTTTAAAAAATTTTGATATCCATGTATTTCTAATAGATCGTGGAGGTTTTTGAATTCTTGTGTCCGCAGATTGTCGATCTCTTCCGGATTTCCGTTTGAGCACTATAACCTGTAATAAAAAAAAATTAATTAAAAATAATTAATAACTCATCTAATGTAATAAACCTTAAAAAGAGTTTAAATTCAGATATAAATTCAATTGGAAACGTATTTAGCTCAATCATTTGGTGCAAAAAAAAGCTGTTTTGAAAATTGCTGATTTCATAGATTTTCATGTGAATTCAACTTTGCGACCTCGAATTTTTGCCGTTGCCGCTGCCATATTAAAAAAATTGTGTCAAAAATCAGTTTTTTAACGATTTTTTACGAATGTTTAACGAAATTAAACTACTAAATGACTGAACTATTTTCAAAAGTTTACTAAAATTACTGCTTGTTAATTTCTAGATCGCGTCAAGGGTTCATTATAGTCAATATATAGAATAATTATAATTATAAATTTGTAAATTTTTCTAACTTACATCATAGAATTTCTCTCGACATCGGGCTCCTCTCCAACATTCCTGCTGATCACAAATTTCGGAAGTGAAATATCTGGGATAATAATCTATTCCCAAATCATGTCTTATAGTCTGTTAATAAAAAATATTGAAAAAATAAATACTAAATAAAAATTAATAAAAAAAATATGTTTCTGATAAAAAAAAACTTCTGTTTACCTTCGTACGGCATTTGCAGGGTACTGTTCGGAAAGTTGTACGCTTTGAAGAAACCAATCCAGAATCCAAAAAATCTGCAGATTTTTCCTTAAAAATTCAAATAACAAAAATTACTTCTTATGTAACAAATATTTCAAAATATACTATAAAATCACCTTATCCATACTCGTACTAATTGCATCTTTGTTTTCTCCTGAATTGTAGAGTTTCCTGTGAATCAAATCCTGAAGAGAATTTTTTGAATCATGCAACTGTTTTTTATTGGTGACCCCAACATGTTTAGTGAATTCGAAACAGACATCATTTTGGAGACAAACTATATTGGCTTTTTGAAATAAATCATGCTTTCGGTGTAGAAAATCGTTTTTTAGTTTTTGCATATCACTTGGTGATATCTCTGTATTTATAGTTAGCAGCAATAATATGGTGATCTGAGCCTAAACAAGGAGGAATAAAATATAAAAAAGTACAGAACTAACAAAAATAAGTAAATATTTTGCAATAATATCTAGCAAAAATAACTTATCAATTATAATACTTACTGTATGAATTAAAATCATCCTGATTAACTTGTACACTACTCGCAAGGAGTTTTATAAAAACTGACGATGAATAGAACATTTCTGATTATATATCTTATAGAAGAACAAAGGATGGTATATAAATAACATGAACCCGTGAAAAATATCCATTGTATTAGGAAAAATGGTATACTATATCTTTGATATGTGATATTATAAAATAGTAATACAGAGCATGCTCAGAAAACGCATCTGAACAAAATAATGAAAGAGTGGATGATATTATGCCCACCTACATTTTCTATTTAAAAGAAAAATGAATATATATATATATATATATATATATATATATATATATATACTCTAGAAGTTAATAAATATATCTGAACTTTGAGTAAATAGTTTTTATTAGAAATCCTTGTCTGTTAACAGTTATGATCAACAATCAAAATTTGCAAAGTTTCAATATCACCAATTCTTCATAAGACTAGAGAGAACTTATTAAATTTAAAAAGTAATTGATTGTGTTAATTTTACATTTCTGAAAATAGACATCAAACGATAAGAATGGTATATGTGATATGATATATACGAATATAATTACAGATAGTTATATAGAAAGTAAAATAAGAGATTTTGAATTTAATATCAAAAAGCATGAAAATATAAAAGTATTATTTTTAAAAAAATATTATGTACAATATAACAAAGATAATGTGAATGAATTATTATATCAATTTGTTCAATCTTTAAATAAATAAATTATATTCATAAATAATGAATAAAATAGACCAACAAAGAAAAAATTATATCACCACATATAACTGCATTTAAGTATACAATCAATTGCAATTACCTACACAAAACGACTCTTCAATTCAATACTTTTATTGCTGCCTATAATATATCAAAGACAATATATTAAAAATGACTACATATTAAATAGTAGATTAATGAAATTAATATTGCATCTGTACTTCGTTCCTGCACTAGGTTTTATAATTTAATGCATTATAAAAATAACTATTAACATTGAAAAGTAGTAATTCATTTCTATTTTGGTTTTTTATCACTGATTTCACGCAGTTTTTTGTATTCCTCCTTCACATTGTCTATGAACGATTTAATAAAATAGAATTTTCGTATTGGATTATTTGCCAGCTTCTCAGTGTTGTCACCTAAAATTGATTTTGATCTATACATTAGCGAAATGGCTAACTGCGCAGCTCTTCGAACTGGATAAGATTCAGACAACTTCTGAACTAAACGTTCGTTATTCAGCAAATAATTCATGAGAGATCGCAGAGGCATTTTAAACAATTTATATTTTCATTGAATCAAATGTGTACATAGTCCTGTATTTGTGCAAAAGCTCTTGCTTAAGTTTTAATTGTTTCCTAAGTGTTTCTAAATATTGAAGTTGTTCCTCTTTATTATAATCAATTCCAGGTAGCTGAGTAACTTGACTTCGAATTTTTTCTAACTTCTTTTGTAAGTCTAATACCTTCACACTGCAATCTTGTGATTCTCTGGTTTTGCCAGCGCTATCATGTGGATCTCTTTCAACACTAAAATCAAACAATAGGGATTAAATCTCATGAAGGTGATTGTTTATAATTAATGTTAAGTTCAAACCTTCGTATGATATCATATATAGTGGGCAATATGTCAATTTCTATTTGATCAACGGTAAATGAATTAGAATTTGTTTGTGGTTCAGTCAGTTCAGATGAGATTGATTCCATATTAAGTACAAGAACTAACCTTTGTAAACGACATTAATAAGCAAGTAATTATTTTAAATGAAGCGAATTGAAATGTTAGCTACAATACTTAAATTAAATCAATTAATTTAAAAACATATATAAGATGCATACCAAATCGAAACTTGTCAAAAAGTATAGGCGACAGCTCACGGATTCTAAATGACATGAAATTCGTACGTATTGTAATATAACAAGTGTTGCCAATCACAACGAACAATTTTTAGAAATTCAAATACAAATTTTTTTTTACTGATAATTTACTTTTCACTTGATTTTTTTTAAGCGCCATAATTAATGATTGTCATAAAACGTTCCAAATAAAAATTACACAATTATACTTAATTATTAAGAAAAAGCCTTTGCATGGAGTATACATACACAATATCCTTAATGTAACGTAAAGTTTGCGCTTAATGGGCAAAAAGTCCCATTACATTTTTGCAGATAAAAACAATTGATTATGAGTGATATAAGTAATATATATTTTAATATAAATGTAGTATAAAAATAGTATGAGATCAAATACATAAGTCTATTAAAAAGTCAAGTTAACATACTGCTTCAAATCATGCTATAAAAATATACATAATACATATACGAGTACGATTATAATAATTATAAGTATACGATTATAGTAAATATGAGTATTTCTTAATAATAAAATAATTCATTCTATCTTGCAAAAATTAGAAATATCTCATTAAAATATTCAAGTTTTGCTTTTATTGTGAAGAAGAAAAATTTTGTTATAGATTATTTTGCAAGTATTTCAGCATTACTTGCATAGCTTGTAGTAAAGTAAATTCTAGATCAAAACAGTTCCCTCCTGTTGCATAATAAGAGTCTAATCCTTGGTATTTTGGAAAATATCCCTAAAATATAAATTTTGCATATATTAAAATTTACTTTAATATTTTAAACTATGTTATAAGACTAACCATGCAGTTATACATATATCTATTTCCATCTAGATGGTAAATGTATCTAAATTCAGGAACACATAAGTTTTTCGATTGACATGTTGTCAATATTTTTTGTAAAGTGTGCAAGCTCTCAGGATATTTAAAACAAAATTGGTAGAGTTCCATACAATTCCAATTTTGCCATTCTTGATGTATATGATGATTTTTATCTATGTGGTTAGAATTGAGCTTATCTAAAACAGTTATAGCCTGATTTTCCAAACTCAAGTTAGTCATATCATTGATTAAATAATCATCATTTGCATAAGTGTTATTTCCATTTGTGTTCAAATATATGTTTGTTGATTGTGAAGTTAATTGTTTAGAAGTTTTCTGCTCAAGTCTTTTTGCTGCTATTACTTGACGTCTGAAAACAATTTTGATCTAATAATGTGCTAATTATGTAATATGCACATAAAAATATATAATGAAACAAAACAAAATATTTACCTTGGAGAATCCGGTTTAGCCCATTCTATTCTTATGATTCGTTGTGCAACCCTGATACCTGTTAACAATTAATTTTTTAATAAATGTATATAATATTTCAAAAATAATATATTACTCACCATCAAGTTTCTCTAGTACCTCTTGCGCAACTTCTCTTGAGACGAAATGTGCAAAGGCATAACATTTGACTTTCCTTAAGCGATTTAAAAATGTTTCATTATTATTAAGTATAGGCAAAATTAATTTCTTAAGATCATATTCAGTCATTTCAAGCGGCAAATTCTGGAAGTAGAGAACTTTCACCTAGATATCATAATAATCATTATATAATGTGTACAACAACAAAAAATAGAAATTAAGATTCAGAAAAAATACAACCTGGGACATAATTTTCTTATTAACATTGTATTCAGGTTGAGCCCAACCAATTGAAAGACATGTGTTCCACAATCTGAAATTGTTTGCATTAGATGATAACAATTGCCAAATTGTCACAAATTAATTATTAGATAACTCACCGCACACCTCCAGGAAGCATGCTACGTCTAGCAATAGCAGCTTTTCTATGCGATTCAAATTCAACAAATGCATAACCACGATTAAGCATAGGATCTCGATCATTAGGTGGTAATATGACTTCAACTACACCATCAGCAAGAGCTGCCAATTCATCGAATATTTCTGGTGCAGTCACAAACGGTGGAATATGACCCAAAAACAAACGCCTGTTATCAGCAGATCTCATGACTTTCATACCACCATTGCAACCGACAAAAGGATACCTTATATATGGAACATATTATTATCTGGTTGTTTGAAATCATTAGTCATGCAATATCAATTTTGTTCTGTGGAGACATTATTAAGCCTTACCTATTTAATTTCAAAATAGCCTCATCAGCTTCTTCCTCAGATGAGAATTTCACAAACCCATAGCCCCTATTATATCCAGAAAAGTTAAGCATAAGCCTTAACTCATAAATCTTTCCAACTTGGCTGAATATTGGAACAAGTTTATCTTCGAAAACTGTGCACGGTATATTTGTAAAATAAACTTCACAACCTGTAAATAAATGTTGCACTTATCATAATTATGTGACATGATATTATATCTTTGTCAAGAGTAACAATACATCCATTACACAATATTCTTCATTGGTAATCGATAATTAAATGATTTTAAACTTTTTACCTCTATCTGGTTCTGGTCCAGTCCAATCAGGAGGCGGTCCAAAACACCTCTGCCCATTTTTTTGAATAATCTGGCATCCAGTTTTGTTAATTAAGTTAATGAGTCTTGTGGTTACATCATCGTCATTGATATCCTGAAATGCAATTTGCTTGCTTGTATTAAAAGGTTAAAAAAATATAAAATAATGAAATGGACTTACTTGTAAACAAGAATTGTTATTTTCATTCTCTGATGCAGACATCATGATAATTGAGGTCAATACAATATACTTAGTTTTCCTATAATAAATATAAATTAACAATTTTTAATTTAATTTGAAAATGTTGAAATAGTTATAGTTACAAACAAGAAAACTTGAATAGTTTAAATATTTAACCTATTCAAGAAAAAATTATAATTTAATATGATTTATAAAGCTTAATTAACTAATTTATAGAGATTAATTAACATTTTTGAATTTCATATCAGAACAGTCAAATGCCAATCAAAACTTAAACTGAATTTGACATGCAACTTCTGAGTGTCCAAGATGGTTCCATATATACTTAGGCGCCAAATTTGAATAAAAACGCAAAAAAATCATGCTCTATTATTTAAACTTATTATATATACTATATTAATAAATTATTTTGAAAAATGTATAATATATGAAAAATACCATAATATATAAAATATATTAAGGTATAAATAAAATACCTAATTGTCAAAGATCTGTGGTTTTTTACAATGCGTTTTGAATACACTTATTTGTATATTATAATTATATTACAATTTATAGACATTTAATCGTTTTGAAATTAACGTTGAATTAAAGCATATAAAACAACTTGCTTTAATATCATATTTCTGAAATATGTTAAAATATTCCCTTTAAAACAACCCCCATAAAGATGCATACATACAATTCGGCCCTTACATAGCCAATTAGGAAAAGTTTAAGATGCAATTTTTGATATCCTAAATAAAAAAATAAATTAAAACAATCCTACCTAAAGTGCCAGTGTTATGTTATGGTTATGTTTAATAATGAAAGGCTAGAACTTTTTTGCTCTCTATAATTTGCTCAATAGAATAAATCGCATAAAATGCCCAAAATAAATAAGTAAAAAATTTTAAAATCAAAATATTAATGATAACAATTTTAATAATAAACTTATTATTTTATCTAAAAAACATTTTTAAATTTTTTGAAAATTATCCATGCTATTTCCATACAAAACTTTGAATTGCACTCTATCTAAAAGTTAATATTAAAAGCTAAAAGTTATAGAGAATTTTTTTTATAAATTTGGAAGTATTTGAGCCCCTTGGGAGCAATAAAATTCGAAAATGTCCATATTAAGGACCACCCTAATAATATATATGTATATATATATATATATATATATATATATATATATACAAGAATGTATATGAAAAGAAAAATCTAGAAACTCATGGAAACGCGAGAAGGTTATGTCGAGCTCGAAACTTAAAAAAATCCAGAAAAAAGGAAAAATTGATTGAAATTTTGTAAATGATGTATCACAAATTAAATTATATATCATAAAACTATCCCATCTAAACAAAAATACTTATTCTATAACTAATTTTACACTAAATTTATTATAATGTATAAAATTATTATTGAAAAATGGCGTCTACATATCGCGTGCAAAATATCACAGTCGCACTAATTTCATATAATATATGAAAAAAATGTAATGTAAATCTCATGTAAATATATTTAACGTACATAAAAAATATTTCATGTTTAAAATATGTTTTGCATATATATATTTTACCTATTTATCAAATTTTAATTCACGAAATTATTTACGTAAGCTACACGTTGTCGATGTAGAGAACGAATTTCTGCAAATATTTATTACTTCGCAAAAACTTTGTCACATGTCACATTTAATTTAATTTCTAACTGATGCTAATAATAATAATGCTCACTAATAATTTATAACTATTTATTTAATTTAATTTTAGATTTTAACGTAATTTTCATCACGACGTTGAGTACGAATACGTAATGCCGGCGCGCCATAACCACACACAAAAAATACGAATTTTGCAAGAAAAATAAAATTAATACCGACGTTTATGTTTTTGTTTATTAAAATAAATTATTAAATATTTTTTTACAATTATTAATAAATTTAATTGTAATAATTCAAACTCACCCGCTCAAATTAGGAACACAAACACAACTGATCGAGTCGAGTATTTGCTCGATGCAATTTTGCACATGTGTGCGTGTGTGTGTGTGTTGAATTCAACGGTTCAAAATGTACAGGATGGTATTATTTTTTAATTATTTCCATAAAAAATTAATATACAATTTTTCTGGTTTTATATTAATTTTTTTAAGTGCATAGGAATAAAATTGAGTTTATTAATAAAATTTTGTTTAGGTTGCAAGACAGTGCAAGCTAAGGGTTTGTCGGTTTTCAAAAACTGGTTTTTAAAACCGTTTTTTGGACGAAAATTATGGGATTCAAAAACCGTTTTTTTGACAAAAATTAGGGAAT